CCTGCAGAGCAGGTTGGGTTTAGTCTCCCAGCTGGGCTGGTGTGCAGGGAAACTGAGTCGAGTCTGCCCAAGAGCTGAGTCTGCCAAGTGCCTTTGGCCCAGTCCCAGGCACTATAGTAAAGAATAAAATTGTCAGACACAGGGATGAATGTAAGTTGTTTGGGGAAAGTCAGCATGGTTTCTGTAAAGGGAAATCATGCCTTACTAATCTGCTAGAATTCTTTGTGGTGGGGGTCAACAAACGTGGACAAAAGGGATCCAGTGGATGTAGTGTACTTAGATTTCCAGAAAGCCTTTGACAAGGTCCCTCACCAAAGGCTCTTAAGTAAAGTAAGTTGTCATGGGATAAGAGGAACGGTCCTTTTGTGGATTGGTAACTGGTTAAAAGACAGGAAACAAAGGGTAGGAATAAATGGTCAGTTTTCCGAGTGGAAAGAGGTAACTAGTGGTGTCCCCCAAGGGTCAGTCCTAGGACCAATCCTGTTCAGCTTATTCATAAATGGTCCAGAGAAAGGGGTAAACAGGGAGGTGGCAAAATTTGCAGATGGTACCAAACTGCTCAAGATGGTTAAGACCAAAGCAGACTGTGAAGAGCTTCAAAGAGATCTCACCAATCTAAGTGAGTGGGCAAGAAAAGGGCAAATGAAATGTAATGTGGATAAATGTTAAGTTATGCACGTTGGAAAACATAATCCCAACTAGACATACAATATCATGGGGCGCGTGTCTGCACTACCCTCCTAGTTCGAACTAGGCTTCCTCGTGAAATGAAGAGTAACGGTAGTTCCAACTAAGAAGTCTAGTTCGAACCAGCGGGGTTTTAAAAATGGCGGCTCCCCGCTTATGCAAATGAAGCCCGGGAAATTCAAATCCCAGGCTTCATTTGCAAGTGCGGTATGCCTACATTACCCCGCTGGTTCGAACTAGGAGGGTAGTGTAGACATACCCATGGGGACTAATTTGGCTACAACTACTCGAGAGATCTTGGAGTCATCGTGGATAGGCCTCTGAAAACATCCACTCAGTGTGCAGCGCCGTTCAAACGGCAAATAGAATGTTAGGAGTCGTTAAAAGGATAGAGAATGAGACAGAAAATATCTTATTGCCTCTGTATAAAACCATGGGACGCCCACATCTGGAATACTGCGCACAGATGTGGTTGCCTCCTTTCAGAAGGGATATATTGGCATTGGGAAAGGTTCAGAAAAGGGTAACTAAAATGGTGAGGGGTTTGGAACAGGTCCCGTATGAGAGAGACTAAAGAGACGGGGACTTTTCAGCTTGGAAAAGGAGACTAAGGCAGGATGTGATAGAGGTCTATAAAATCATGAGTGGTGTGGAGAAAGTAAATAAGGAAAAGTTCTTTATTCCCACAATGTAAGAACTAGGGTCACCAAATGAAATTAATGGGCAGCAGGTTTAAAATAAACACAAGGAAGTTTTTCTTCACTCAGCGCACAGTCAACCTGTGGAACTCCTTGCCAGAGGATGCGGTGAAGGCCAGGACTTTGGCAGGGTTCAAGGAAGAGCTAGATAGATTTGTGGCAGCTAGGCCCATCAATGGCTATTAGCCAGGATGGGTCAGAACAGTGTCCCTGGCCTCGGTTTCTCTGGAGGTGGGTGACGGGAGGAATCACGTGAGGATTACCCCTTGTGATTCCTCCTTCTGGGGCATCGGGTACTGGCCGCTGGCAGCAGACATCCCCTCCGGTCGGTGCCTCTCCAGCCCTTGGGGGTGCCCAGGCCGGAGTCAGCTCTCCAGCCTCCTCCCCCGTTTCACAGACAGGAGTACAATGGCCTTGCTGCACCGGGCCCCTGGCCCCAGGCCCTGGCTAACAGGGCAGTGTGTGGCCAGGCTGGCTGGAGCATCCCCCGGCCTGCAGCCCTGCCTGGCGCCCGCCCCGCCCACTGTGACCCAGGCAGACTGCGTGCCACCCCGTGGTCCCAGCCGGCTGCCCGTGTCCCTTTGCAGATAGTGGAGGAGCTCCAGGGCCGGATCCTGCAGCTGCGCTTCCCCCACCGGGTCCAGAGCAAGGAGGCCACTCCCAAAGTGAAGAGGAAAACGTTCGGGAGCAGCTCCCCCTCCAAGTCCCCGCCCATGGCCGGGGCCCCGCCCACCCTCTCCGACACCCCCTGCCCCGTGGGGCTGCACAAGCCGCTGGAGAAGCTCCTCGTCCCAG